CCGTAGAGTTGGGCCCAATATCTGCAAGGTGGCGGCAACAGGTAGGTCAGTGGTGTTCTTTTAGGCTAAGCCGCGCATGCTCGCTCGTGCTGCTTAGGCCGCCATCGCCGAGCTGCCCCTTACGGAGGTCGCGGCCATGTGCTCTGTACATACTCATCACCAGTATAAATTGCTACCATTAAAATTTATGGCGACAATGTTTCTTTCAACTCGGTCTCGGATGATGCATGCATCATATTGGGAGAAAGAGCAGAAGTCTAATTTAGACCTTTCGTGTATTAACCGGTGACTAAACTAACATAATATCCTAACAGACTTGATAAAAGGCCATACAAGAAAGAAAATTTCGTTTTGAGGCCATACAAGTAAGTTTAAGAAAAAAAAGACCATACAAAAAATATGTATTTTTTCAGAACCATACAGGTAAAAAGCTCTTTATTTATAGGTCCAGAAGGTTGCGAGCTTGTATTATCCAAAAATTACTATGCTTATTTTTTTCCCAAACGGTTTACAGCACATACTACGAATCTTGACTAGCACTTTTCATATGCATATAAATATATGTTAGTTTTTAGACGCTGTTCATATGGATATAAATATATGTTAATTTCTAGACAAATATACATGCAACGACTACCTCTAGTCCAAAAACTTGACATCTGTACAAGAAAACATGAAGAAAATAGGATGTACGGTTTCTCTAAAACGTAACTTTTACATAACTGCAACCAGCAGGTAGTAGTTCTTTTAGACAAAGCGGTCCAGTATTGCTTAACGGCCCATGTGCTCTGTCTCATCAACATAAATTGCTAATTAAAATTTAGAACATGTTTCTTTAAACACAGTATAGATGCATATGCTCATATATGCACACGCAGCTTCATCCCTAAGAGCACACTCATGCACATCTTATCATATGAGCATTTACATGAGAGTAAGCCTATGAATCTTGAGTCACCACAGACACTTAGCTATCGACAAACTTGTCACCAAGCAGGCTACCACTCCAAGGATAAGTGTTTACTACTACAAAATTTATTTTGGAGATGATATCGGGGCGAGGATGCGATGGTGGTGAATCTCGCGCATGAATTGATGTGAGCTTCCAGGCCCATAACGTGTGTTTTGGAGAAACAAGTTAACATTAGGCTACAAAGATGAAGATATCCCCAAGTGTTGATAATGTGATCAAGAACTCAAGATTCAAGGTGAAGATCATTTAAGAGTCCAACAAAGCCATACACTACTCAAAGATTAAGGGGGTCTTAGAATAGTCAAGTATTGCAGTTAAAGACTCCAGAGTGAAGATCTTTTCAAGAGTTGTGCTTCTCCAAGAAGGGCATTTGAGTGCAAGAAGCTTTACCAAGCGTTTAGTGTGCATGGTGGTACAAACTTGATGAACAAATCGTACAGTGGGCATGGTCATGCGGTAAGGAATCCAACAAAAACAAGTTTCACCTTGATTTGAGCTCATTCGGAGAAGTTGGAGGTGAAACCAGAAGAATGCATAGAAGGAGACAGTCAGATGCTGACAAAAATGACTAGACCAGATAATGTGAAGAGGTGTTCTGGTAGAGCTTGTGTATGAAGGGTTATATTGAAGTAAACTCAATGGACAATCCACCAATGGACATTGTATGGACCGGAGAATTAGTGTAGAATTGATAGAATCTAGGGTTTTGAAGGTACTGTTGAGATGCATTCAATAAACGGTCTAGCCAAGGTGTTTGATCATCACTAGACTATTGTCAGAATGGTGTTGACTATTGAGAAATCAATGTGTTGATGGCAAATGTGGAGGAAAATCAAGTTGTGGTTTTTATGGACCCACTAGAGAATCACCGAATGATGATGCCAGCTAGCTGTTGGGGTTCCAAAGCTAACCATTGGAGGAGTATTGTGCAGAAGCACACACCAGACTATCCAGGCATGGCAAGAGCATTGTCCTCTCTTCGAATTTTTCAAGTTACCATTGGGTCACCTTTTTCCAACATCTGGCAATGGCTATAATAACCCTCCATGGGGGTCTCTTTAGGTGCCTTTTATCCCTCGAGAAGTCTGGTGGGAGTAGAGATGCTTGGAGGAGAGAAAAGTGAGGATAAAGTGTGAGATGTAGTGTGTTAGGGCCTTGTTAGGCACGAGATAAGAAACACACATATGTGAGTGATCCTTGTGTAGGCAGCCTTAGTGGCTGTAGTTACCGTGAGCTATAGAGTGCTGGATATCGTTGTGATCTTCCAATGAAGGTGTTGTGGCCTTCTAGGTAGCGATCCTTCGTTCTTGGTGTGAAGTGGCATAGTATTGGTGTGCAGTGGACAAGAACACTATTCCACCCTACTTGACACTATAGTAGCACTATTACACCTACTTAGTATGACTAATTAAGACTTTCACGCCGCCTACCGTCCAATACCGCATGGGAACAATATGCCTCTAATGAAGGAACACTTCACACAACAGCCTCATCCACTCTTGGGGTGTCCGCCACCACATGGAAGACTCTCCCTTTTTCTCTCCCTCCGTAACCCTACTCATTGGCGGAGCTACATGCAGGCCAAAAGAGGGCTATGACCCCTCTTTGCTGATTGAAAACACCATTAAGTAGCTATTAAATTGATGGTTGAAATTAATAAATATGTATATTAATTAAGAAATTAGTGATAATTGCCCCCCTCTTGTTTTCCTGTCAAGCTCTGCCACTGACCCTGCTCCCTTAGTAATGTAAAGGGGTAGCAAGGGCCTCTTCTTCCTCTCTCAATTCTTTACTCTTTGAACCCTCTCTCGACATTTTAAACTCATTGTCCCTCGGACATAGGACATGTTGCCTGGACCAGTATAAATCATAGATCTCTAAGTGATAGGCCATGTGAAGCCCAAGTGAAAAGCTGAATTTACTAGTTGACATCCGGATACCTCTGGTTCGAAAAGTTAATAGTATTGAATTTAGATATTTGAAAATGATAACATTATAATTCTCTCACATGTAGCTTCACTAAAGTGTATAATGATGCTCCATTTTATAAATGTTTTTTTAACAAAAGGCGCTTGCCAAATTTGTGTTTGACGACAAAAAGTCGCTTAACTGTGATTGGTTGGAAGGTGTAATCATGAAAGATTAAGGCAATAAGGTTTTCTTGCCGGAGTTCACTCACCCATGTTTTTCTCTAAAAGGGGGCGGTTTTGAAAATGACGAAGGATTGACTTGGCCGATTGGTTGGAAGGTGTAATCGTGAAAGCGTGGCTAGAAGGTGAACTCTTTTGCTCAGGAAGCACTCCAAAACGTAAGCATGAGAAATGGATGTTACGGGGTACTCAAACATTGTAGTGTAATAATCGCAACTGTTTTCTGCTTATTCCGACAGATTTCCCTTCAAAAGGTACAACAATGACATAGCCTCATGGCAAACATGTCGTGTTTGGCTCCTTTTTATGTACATTCCTTGACACGTCTCAAATCACTTTTATATGTGAATCGACATCACCTTTATCACCCCTGTCAGTTGCCCATGATTGCTAAACAATCTATGCTTTCATGAACATAAACTACTAATTAAAGTTTATATGTACATGATAGAAAATGGCAAAATACAGATTAGCTTGTATCGAGAAAATCATGAAAGAATAAGACACTTTTAAATATATACACAATAAAATGGGAATGTTGCAATTAGATTATTAATATAATAAGAGATGAAGGTTTTCTTATGGAACCACCTATGTTTTTCTCTAAAGGGTGAAGAGGAGACCCATGTTTCTCTCAAGGGGGAGGAGGAGAGAAAAAGGAGGATTATGAAACAGATAGAGACTATCTATAAGGCATGTTGATCGCTTCTCCTTGGATCCTCTTTGGATCCGCCAAAAGGCAAAATACCGTTCAAAGCAACGTAAACGCGTCAACTGGACCCGTTAAATCAGTCATACACGACAAAAACAATAACCGTAGCCGTTTTTGTAGTGTTGCGGATTTGTTTCAAAACGGTAGCGCGTGAACTCTGGAGTGAATGGGATATTGCTGGCTATCCAACCTGCCAAGCCTCGCTCCGGATTTGCACATCTATCAACATGTCTCAAAGCGCCGTGACATGTGAACCGACAAAGCATTTTTCTTTTATTAATTTCCTTTTATTCACCCCTCCTATATCATAGATGCTTTAAATTTCCAATTATTTTTGACGGCATGTCCAAACGTTATAGATATTGTTCTAATGTTACAGATACCGCCATTCGACTCGCATCACTTCACCTGGAAATTGTTAAATTTCAAACACCATAAATATAGCGTCTCCTCTTTTTTTCTAGCACATGCCATTTTCATATTGTACTAATTAGAGTACACACGTAGGGATCCTCATCTTCTATCTAGCTACGTGGTCCTTGGATCTAATTAGAGCATACACGCACTCACAATCCACGCGCTAAACTCCTAGTACCTATTTATGAACAAGATTCTTCACGGGTAAGAAAACCATCTTGTTTTCCAACCAACCGCGCGCGTGGTTTAATCTTTTTCTAGTACCTAAAAATAGCTGCCCGCTCAAAATTCACCACGGGATCCATGCCACCCGCTCGGCAGATTCACCCACCCACCACACATTGGGACCCTGGCATTGCCAAACTCAGCAACAGCGGAGCACAAAAACCTCAGGTCTGCCAAACGCGGCGACGATAAAAGCCCATCATCCTCGTCACAAAGAAAACAGAAAAACCCGCGCCAGATTGAAAAGGAAAATAAAACGAAACCGTCACCATCTCCCGGTTTACACAAGGAAATCCCCGTCCTGCCCCTGCCCCTCCACGAAACCCACGACGCCCGACGCCAGCGGCCTCCGCCCCCGCCCGCAGTCCGTCCGGCCCCACCACCGGCCGCCCCCACCTCTCCTCCCAGCCACGCCTACAAGAACCCCCACCCCCTCCCTTCCCATCGCCCGCCACCAGCTGCTTTTCGCTCGCTCGCTCGTCCGTCGCCCGCCTGCGGCCTGCTCCCTCTCTCCCTCGCCCTCATGGCGGACTGCTTCCCGCCCGAGTCGGACGACCTCCACCGCCGCTGGCTGCCGCGGGAGATCTTCGCCGACATTGGCATCGTCGACCCCGAGGCCGCCGCCGCCGTCGTCACCGAGCCCACGCCCGAGGCCGCCGCCGTGGAGGAGCTCGCGGCGCAACTCGCCGGCATCCTCGGCGGCAGGTCCAAGGTGTGGCCGCTCGCCCCCCAGCCCCCGGCCCCGCCCGCCGCCGCCCCGCGCCACGGCGCCAAGGTGAGTGGTCGTGCTTGAGCTTTGTGGTCTCCGGTTCTTTGGCCCTGGCCCTAACAACGGCGGCATCTGGTTTCAGGTCTGCGGGCTGGATGGGAGCGTCGTCGTGTCGACCAATGGTGGCGGCGGCGGCGCTGGCGCCGTGTCCTGGCCGTTCGTGCCGTACCCGCAGCTCCAGTGGCAGGTATGAAAACAACACCAGCCGGGATTCTGCTTGCCGACGCCGCCTCTCCCCCTTTCTTTGTTTTTTCAAAATGCTTGGTGGAGCGCTGTGTTTGCCAAAATCCTCGGTGTTTTCCTCTCTTTTTTTGGGGTTTTCCGTCTCTGTTTTGTTGTGTTTTGGAACCCCGCCGCCGCGGCGCCGCCGCTGATTACATACAAAATCGACAGCTGGTCGTAAACTATCCTTTGCAATTAAGCGAACCTGTGTTCCCCTTTGGAAAGTAATGATCCTTATCATTGGTTTAATCATGAACACGCCATATAGAGAGTTGGATTGTGTTTTTTTTTGGCTGCGTTTTCGTGTTTGGCATTCCGAGGAAATTTCTGAGATGATGACGATGATGCTGATCCCTGCTGCCTTCCCGTCGTTTGCAGGTCGGGAGCAGCCTGGTGAACTACGGCGGCGTGCCGGACTACCCGGTGCTGCCCCCCGCTCTGCCCTGCCACGTCCCGCCGCCGGCGAACCTGCGCGGCGGCACGGGCGTGTTCCTGCCGCGCGTCGAGGCGTACCGCTACGCGCCGGCTACTCCCCCGGCCACGGCTAAAGGTAACTAACGCGTGCCCTCGCATTCCCCCTACCGATCCATGTGTGGCATCGCGCCTGCCGCCCGCCGCCGTCGGATGGATGGATGGATGGATGGACGGACGGATGTCTCGGTATCCGTGCGTATCCCCCACTCATAAGACGTCTTGGTTCTTGCGCCGCCTGTCTCATCTGATCTGGGATGCATTCGATTATACTAGTGCAGTGCAGTGCATCATGTTTCATTTCATCGGCAATTGGTTGCTCCCGGCGTACCAAGTGCAAATGAGTAGTGGTACTGGCCGCCGGGATTTTGCGTGCGTTCTTGAGCGGTGTGAGGCGTTAATGGCGGCAGCAGCCAGACCAGACATGCACCGGGTTTTCCTGTGCTGATGGTGCTTTGCTTTTGGCCGTGGTCTGGTTTGTTGGCTGCAGCCAGAGAGGTTGTTTTAGCACCTGATGATACTGTGGGCCCCCCTGTACTTTCTGGTTCCATGCCAGTGGGGCTGGGCCAGTGGGCCGAGTGCTGGCATGCATGACGACGTGGCTGTAGCTATGGCCCATGGGATAAGATATCATTAGCAGGAAATAATTCTGGTTTATAAAACCGAAAAAAACTGCTTCGCATTGGTGCCATATCTCTTGGATATGCTAGGTAGGAGTTCAAGTTTCAGTACGCCAGCTAGCAGCGTACTGCTACTGACTGCAGCCATATCTGCGGCATATACTGTGATTATGAACCTGGCTTTTGCATATACGGTGTATATACTCCTCCCACACGGCTTGTATTTGTACTATAGCAGCATCACTGGCGAGAGAATCACGAGATGTGAAAGCAAGCAAGCAGCAGCGACGGGGCCAATGAAAGCTTGTACGAATGCGCTGACGTGGTTTTCGCAGGTGGGGCGTGGGCTGGTGCAGCGGCAAAGCCGTGGGCTGGGACTGGGACTGGCAGCAGGCCGGCAACGGGGAAGAAGCAGCAGCCGCAGACCGAGCATGCGACGCCGACAAAGCAGCAGCACCAGAAGCAGCAGCCGCAGCAGGCCACCGGCGCTGCGCTGGCGCTGCCACAGGACTGGAGCTACCGCTGATGATGTGTTCCAGGCGCTCGCGTGCATGCATGCATGGACATGGTCACATGGATGGACGCGACGCGAGGCTGCCCAGATGATGCCGAACAAGCAAGCATGCATTCGTATTCGTAGTATTAGTGGGGTTTTCCAGGGAAAAAGAATAATAACAACAATAAGAAATTAAGAATAAGATGATGATGGATTGATGGATAATGTAGTAGTAGTGGCTCTGATTAAAATGTTTTGAGAGAAAAATATTGTTTCAGCTAAAAAAAAACCGAACAAGTCGAATTTAAGAAAAGTCGAACGGGGCCTTCGGCGGTGGATGCTGCTAGTCCTACTGGTGTCCTCTTCCTCGCGTCCTACTGTATCTCGCAATAGCAAGCTACTCCTATGGTGATCCGCGCCGTCTGTTCGTTGCTGAGTGATGTAACAGTACTTCTAGAGGAATAAATAAATTGTCTGTTCTATTGTGTTTGCTCAAGAGAAAATAAAGTAGTATAAATATTAGAGGTTGTTTTACCTTTTTTCTTCTTCTAAATATATGGCTTATATGTATAGTACAAAAACTTATAGTTTGAAACTAGATCCAGTTTCTGGTTATCCAAAAGTTAAAACTAAAAGTTTAACCGAATCTTAAAAAAAGGTACTTACATTTATAATTTTAAATAAGTACCATTTAATAATCATATAATATATTTTTATTAGTATATTTAATTGGAGTAACAAATGCTTAATGATATTTTTTATGAACTGAAGAAAGTTTAGCTTATTCTAAATATAAAATTATGTCGTTTTTGGATGAAGGTGGATAGAAGTCAAATAAGTTAAAGTTTAACCATATATCTAAAAAGATACTTACATTTGTGACAGCGAGTGCATTAGATAATCATATAACCTTTTTTATTAGTATAATACTGATAATATTTTTTATAAACTTAGGTCCGTTTTGTTTCTAAGGAATTTTATGAATCTAGATAAAAAGAACCTTAGAATCTTAGGCAAGATTCTATTTGATTTTAATATGCAGACATAGAATCCAACGAACACTGGATTATTTTTATCCGGAGCTTTAAAATTTATCAGGATTCAATGGACACGTAGCGAACAAGTTTGACTCATTCGAAACCTAAAATTGTATCCTTTCTGTATATCTAGAAAAGGTAGAACAATACTGTATAATTTGATGTTGAAATGGTGGAAGTATCTCTGTAGGTACGGAGGTATTATGTATAGCTAGAAAAGTTAGGATAACATATATAATTTGGATGATATTTGAAATGGTGGAAGTATTTCTCCTTAATAAGGAAAATGAATTATACTACTCTGTATACAGCATGTACCAGGAGGGTAACGTATGTGGTGGAGATTGGACCAGGAGAAGCGGTTGACGAGAAATAATCCTTGGCAGCCTGACGTTGACAGGGTATAGGTAAAGTGCATTTTGTAAACAGTACTACGATTAAAACAGTAAACGTACGTATGTTTACCGCGGTGCTATAGGAGTGACGTGACAGGAACAGTGGTCTCTTTTTCCTCTTTTTACCAGATGAGCGATGAACGATAACGCAGTGCACCGCGTGCTCCGTGTGCCTTGCATGGAAGAGGGCCTGGGGCAGCACGAAAGCAGCGAAACACTGTGCTGTCATAAATGCTCGTTCTCCTTCCGGCCGGCCCTCCGCTCGCTCCTTCGCTGCAAAGGAAAGCTGCTGCGGTGCAGAGGGCAGACTACAGAAGCGATTGCAGTGGTGCCCCACCTCACCTGCCTCCAGACAAGCAAGCGTCTTGTTCAGTATCCTGCCGAGGCCGGACCGTACCCAACCCAACCGGTCAAAAAGCGCGGCATGGCAGCCGATTTTTTTAGCCTGTTTCAGGGGTGGCCCCTGTCCCTTGCCCAGTTGCCCTCGAAGGGGCCGTGCCCCCAAGGCCCAGGCGCACAGCCCTTCGCTCTGCCCTGGGATAAGACGATACGCTGTGAGCGAGCGTGACGGACGGGCACGCGGGACCTGACCTGCGCCGGTGGTGGTGCAATGCTCCTGCTACAGTGCTACTAGTAGTACTCCTACTGTGCAAACGTGCAGGCAGGCGGGGGACGGGGGCGGGGCGGATCCTCTGCAGCACGTACGTCCCCGTGCTCCGACATGGATCGCCGAATCGTCCTCTTTAATCAACCGCAGGAAGCAAAGCATGGGCGCTGCTGCTGCCGGACACCCGGAGTGGATGGAAATGGAACACCCGTTTGTTTAGTGGGAGATTCCGAGGATCTAAGCGCCTGCTGTCAAGTAGTATCAAGCTGACAATCAGTGGTGGACTAAACTAGTAGCAGCAGGCGCCCTCGTGCGTGCGCATGGCAAGCCGCAAGCGCTCACGTACGCACGCCTCGGCGTGTCTGCCTCGCACCGCCGCTGGAGCCCGTGGGGAGGAGTGGAATGGAACGGAACACAGTTCCTCCTGCGCCGAGAGAAAGAGAGAGAGAGCTGGGCAGTCCGGTCGGAGCTCTTGACCCTCCGTCGTCTCCTGAGGCGACGGGTAGAGCTCGTGGACCGAGGTCGAGTCGACAGCTCCAGCACCGTGGTACGGTCGTCGTCGCCGACTAGAGGGCGCGCGGATCCCGTGCACGCGCGCGCGGTTCAGTTTGAGCGCGCGGGAACCTTCGCCTTCGGTCGCGTCGGTCCGCTCGTCGTCGCGGCCTGGGCGCAGCAGCAGCATCGGTGTCCGCTCGCCGTCGCCGCCTGGACGCAGCAGCAGCATCCATCGCCACTACTGACGGCAAGCGCTCGGCGACGGCGGCCTCCTGCGTGGATGGATCTGGAGGACGTGGCTTTCCTGGCCATGCGCAGATGCAAGCGGAGCCGGAGGGAAAGGGCGCCGTAGCAGTTGAAACGGAAGGGCAAGGATGCCATGGCTTCATCCATCTATGGCTTTGGACTGGCTTCACGACTGTCTCTGCCATGGCAAGCCTCAGATCAGAGAACTTGGTAATCGATTAATTCTATTTGGTACTAATTTGTTTACTTATTGCCGTAGATGTATTTGCTCTGTTTTTTCTACATTACTACTGCAATAATGTTTTTTTTTTCCTGAAGACGTCATTTTGTTCTGAAAAGAGCTTCTATGTTCTGTGCAGACTGCAGAGGATGGCATTCTTCTGGAGTTATCTACTTGATGACCTATCTGCTGTCATTCTTTCAGTAAAATGTGTTATATGAGAATGCTTCAATGTTCTGAAAGTGTTACCTGATGAGTTATCTGAATGCTTCTAGTTATCTACCTGACGAGCAATCTGCCTCCAGTTAAATATGTGCGTTACCTGATGAGTTATCTGAAAGTCTTTTGTGTGAACATGTGGAAACGAGTAGCCTGTCCAGCGGCACCTGATGAGTTACCTGATGCGTTACCTGATGAATTACCTCTTCTAGAACTAGTTTTCAGGCTCTATTCCTACAGAGTTGTGTGGGTTGAAAAACTTAAGAGTGAACTTATCTATCAATCAATTCTTTTTAGCTGACTAGTCATGTAGCATGTTCAATTTCATTACATATTATAGACTGAATTGGGAATTTGGAGCAAAATGGGGGAGGTGATGTTGTGCCAGAGTGTAGCTTTGCCTTCAAAAGTTACCAGTGAAATGACACTTCTTTTCTTGTTAATTCAAAGGTTAGAAGTTGTCAGCATTCGGACTCGGGTACGGTATATGACATGATGCCAATAACTAAGCATTTGGGTTGTGCCGGTTCATTCGTGATAGCCATGGTTTCTAAAAAATATTGTAATCAACGTGTTGCTCTTATTTATCCTTGATACATTTTCTATCAAATAGCCACACAATGGTACACAAAAATTTATTTATAGTTGATCCTAACTACATGCAAAGTATTAAACAGCTTAGAGATAGACCCTCGTCTGTGGGTTGCATAACCTGCCTTTATACCTGTCTGTGTATTCGATACACTTAGAGACAGATCCCGTCTGTGTCTTGTACATGCCCTGAGCTCTCCCAACCCTCTGGTGTGTGCATCATCAATCAACCTGTTCGCTGGTTGATTTCTGAGCTAATAAACCTGACTAATACTGATTTATCGTAAGAAAAAAAATACTGTACCGTAACTCGCCCAAGCTAAATGCATGGACGTGGGCGAGCAGCCGAGCACCGTTCCAAAAGCGGAGTGGTCGTCCGTGCGTGGGACGAGATGGAATGGAATGGGACTGGGACACGACGCATGGATCAGCAACGAGTTCGAGTGGGCACTACGCTGGTGGGCCTGGTGTGCAGTGGTACCCGTCGTATACACAGGTGGGTACAGTACATGGCAGGTGTCCAGGTTTTGGTTTTGGTAGGTACGAGCGCGGAGGCCAGGCACAAGAACAGCGGAGGCACAGTAGTTGGAGCGCAGCCGCGGCCCGCGGGGGCGGGGGGCACCGGGGAAAGAAACGCCGACCAGGATGTCCCCACGGAGCCGTGGGACTGGGAGCGGGCGGCCGACAGCGTGGGGACAGGCCGCCAGAACCCAGAAGCCAGGAACCCTGGCCGGAGACGGAGCCGGGAGTGTGAAGTGGGTCTGGGTGCACACAAGATTCGCGGATTCTCTGTGGGGTACGGTGAGCCATGAGACATGAGTGGCGGTGCAAGTGTAGCATGGCGCCGGCTGCCGTGGTCCGTGGCCGTGTCCGTGGGGAGCCCAACCGCTGCCGCTTGGCGCGGGCGTGGATAGACGGGGCCGAGACGCCCGCCGGCCGCCTCCGGCACCCCGCGCCGCCGCCGCACCCCTCACCTCTGCGTGGCCGCGCGGGTTACGTACGTGGCACGGCCGGTTCGGAGGGTGTGGGCTACTGGGCTCGGCGAGTAGCTCAGGCGTCTGGTCTCGCGAGGCGGACAGGTTCGGAGGGTGTGGGCTACTCTCCCTCCTATCGTGGGCCGTGCATACCTGTCGCCTCGCGGGCTCCAATTACGCTGCCTCTCATACAGCCCAGGAAAAGCAGCATCCCACCGCATGGCTTAGGGGCGTCTGCCGTGCCCGTGCCCAGCCCACTACCGAAGCGACGCGTGCGTGCGTGCGTGCAATCGGACCGCAACAACGACAACAAGCACGATCAGATCAGATCAGGATCAAACACCGCGAAACTGCCTGTGGTAAACACATTCATCAAACGCTACACAATACTAGCCGGGTAGTGGGGACAAGAACATTTGCTGACGAAATACACAGGTGAGCATAGGCTGCAAACATCTGGCGTGTCGATCGGTCGGTCGATCTCGCGCGTCACTGCAAGCCAGCGGCGACGAGCGCCACGAGGCCCGACGCGTACAAGGCGGTCGCCCCGCCGCTGCCACGTGTCCGCCCGCCCGCCGCGGAGGTGAACAAGTAGTAGTAGTTGCTGGGCCGCCCACCAGCTCCCTTGCTCTGCCCCGCCGGAGGCGACAGCGAGCTATATCCCCCGCCACTCTTCGGCGACGGCGGTGGGTACCCGCTTCCGGACTTCGGCGGCGCGGTGCTGTCCCCGGCGTCCGACGACGACGACGACGCGGGCGGCGGGGGCGCCGAGCACACCGCCGGGCACGTCCCGCACTTGCTCACGCACAGCACGTTCGTGTCCGGCTGCTGCTGCTGCCGCCCTGTAGCCACCGGCTGCTGGCCGCCGCCGCCGGCGGACGTCGCAGCCTCGCCGTCAGAGGACACCGCCGGCGACACAACCAGCACCAGCATCGCCAAGCACACGGCTCTTCCGCCCACCATGGCCGCGCGGAACGGTGGCCTCGATCGCCGTGCAATGTATGTGCGCGACCGGCCGGCGTGGTGAACTGGTGGTGGTTTGCTTGGGAGGACGAGAATGAGATTCCTGCAGCACCACTGCACAGCACTTGTGTGCAGCAGGGGTTTGTGATAGGTATATAGCAGCAGGGCCAGCCGAAGCTACGGAAGCACAGCGAAATTAAATGCGAATGTGCCGAGCTTGAAGATGAAGCTTCATGGGGTGATGGGAATATGGAGTTGCGGGCGTGGATGTTGCACCAAGGTGGCTGTAAAGGTTAGATGCTTCGATTCTTGGCTGCAAAGGATGGTGGATGCTTGTGTCACCTGATTTTCTATTTTCTACCTCGATAATAATAATAATATAATTCGGGGGATGCGTGAGACTAGTTTTTGATCGATGATGTGGTGCCAGTGCCACGGCAGCATGATCTGCGTGTTGCCTTCCTCAGACGTCAGTACTCCTGAAACGCGAGTTCACTAAACTCCACACTGCTACACAAAGTTTTTCACGAGGCGATTTCAAAATGGCCTCAGAGACGGGCGGGTCGGCTGCCCGCCTCGATTATTCGTGGCAGGGTCGTCCAGCAACCGCCTTGGTTAATGTTTAGCCGATGCGGGTAATGTAATATAACCGTCTCGGTTAATGCCTATTAACCGAGGAGAGCATTATAACGCAACCGTCTCGGTTAAGGCATTATAACGCAACCGTCTTGGTTAATACATTAACGAAAGGTTTTTAATGAGGCTTCCAAATAACCACCTTGGTTATTCATTTTCATTATAAAGGAACGGAATGGGAGTGGGGCTACTTTATGTCGTGATCGCAGTGAGAAAGTTTTGCACAAAATGTGATGCATGCTAGGATGATCCGTGTGCTACTCCACGTCAGCGATCCGGAAGCGGGGCTGGTGGCCACTCGTGGCTCGCCACATGTGCAGCGGAGCGGAAATAACTCTCCCTCGTCCGTTCCTCTCTCTCTCGTCCGTCTCTCTCGTCTCTCTCTTCGGTCCCTCTCGTCGGTCTCCCTCCACGCACGCCTCCCTCTCCAGCGTGGAGGCAGTGAAGGCGGCTAGCGGGGAGGAGGAGGCGCACGGGGAGGAGGAGGTGCACGGGCCAGCCCCCTCCGGTGGCGGCGGCCACCACACGTAGCAGTGGCGCGCGGGGATGCCCGCACTGGCGACGCGCGGTGTGGTAGAACAGCTGTAGGGGACCGTGACGCCTAAGAGGGGGAGAGTGAATTAGGTAATTTAAAACTCTAACTCTAAACTATAGTATCTTTTTCTAACCTTAGCAAAACCTATGAAAAATATAGACTATCTAAATGTGCAACTACGGTTTTGCTAGTGTGTTGCTATTTCTACCGCAAAAAGAGTTATGCAAACAATGTAAATGCGGAAGCTAAAGAGTAAGGTAGAGATATGCAAACTCCCATTGACGACTCCGGTATTTTTACCGAGGTATAGAGAAGCGCGCAAGCTTTCCCCTAGTCCTCGTTGGAGCCTCTCGTAAGCAATCTCTCGCAAGGTCCAAGCTCCCGGTCGGTTAACTCCGTGGATAGCCCTGGGCCTTCCCCACGTGCAAGTGGGTCTCCGGTGTGCCATCCGACAAGTCTCTCCCGGACCGCTCCCCGTCGTCTTCACTATCAAGCTTCTGGTCGAACCACCGCAGGCCTTGTTCCCTTCGGTACATGGTGGCGGCCACACAACAAACGCGGTTGATGTGATCTCAGAGGACTACAAGACCCTCTAATGTACAACAATGGTGCGCGCAAGCACCGAGTGGTAAGAGGTGTACAAACCTCACTAAACACTAGGCCTAAACTTAGAGCAAGCGTATAAGCGGTGGTCTAATCAACCTAAACACTTCATAAAGCACCTACGCTAATCACCTAATGAATCACTAAGCACTATACAAGTGGAGATCACTAAAATGGTGTATCAACACCCTTCATATGTTTTCTCAGCTCTCCACACCTCAAATGGCCGGTTGGGGGGTCTATTTATAAGCCCCACTGAGAAAGTAGCCGTTGGGGACGAAACCCAGCTTTCTGCTACTGACCGAACACTGCTGTCGTCCTGACCGGACGCGTCCGATCGTCCCGACCGTTGAAGCTAGTGCGTAGATCAGACTCGGCGCTGAGTCCGGTCACTGTCGATCGGACGCGTCCAGTCGCGCTGGCGCCGCTCTGGAACCTCTTTGGACTCGATTGGACGCTGCAGTTCCTGCGTCCGGTCGATCATCCGCCATGTCCGATCACGCTGAAGGTGTTGATGATATGATGAACAGTGCCATTGTTGTGTCCGGTCACTTGAGTCCTCAGCGTCTGGTCGCTGCTGCTGACGCCTGCTGTTGCCAAGCATATTGATCGAACGCATCCGGTCGCTATAAGGACCGCGTCCGGTCACCTCTGTGAAGCTCGTTTCTTCGCGATCTTGCTTTCGACTTGGTTCCTATCTTTGTGCTTGGACTTTGCTTGATATCTTTGGTCTTCTCTTGTGCTTCTAGGGTCTTACTTATGGTGTTGATCATGGGATCATTATGTCGCTTTCGTCCAAGTCACGTCTTGCACCCTATTGAACTACAAAACAATTACTTGTAAATTCATTAGTCCAATTTGGTTGTGTTAGTCACCAAACACCAAAATCCAAAGTAAATAGGCCTAGGGTCTATTTTCCTTACAACAGCCCGAAATAGCACGTTTTCGGAGGCGCTCGTCTTCCACTAGACAATAAGCACCCCAAAAGTTGGCTACATCGGACGGTTCCGTCGAGCACACCCCGAAGGAGAACTCGAACAATCCACATTTTTCATCCAGGATCAAAAAATGAGAACGGGTTTACAAAACTTAGTCCATTTCATACAACAAGAGTTTTTGGAAATACATTATTACAATACCAAGTTCAGAGTGCGGAATTTAAACAATGGAATTGAAATAAACATCTAACGGTAAGATACAAGTATCCGTCTGTGCCCACCAGAAGAATCCTCCACACAACAGCCACTCCTCAAGCTGCACCTACAACAGGGGTAAATAAACCCTGAGTACACAATGTACTCGCAAGACTTACCCGACTGGTGGGGAATAATTTCCCGACTCCAAAGGATATGATAAGCTTTATGGTTTGCTGGGTTTCCTTTTTGTGAAAAGCAATACTAGTAGTGAATCCTTATGTAGGTGTTTTATTAGCAGTCATGATTAGTTCATTAGCTATCCATTCTATGTAAGCACCTGTTCTACTTTCAAGCAAGAGTTGAGCAATCAGATCCATTTTACCATCTTTTATCTTCCAGTTATTACTACGATGCTAGATCATAGACAAGTCGTACCGTATCACACGGCGATTCATAAAACAATGGATCCTAGCTGGTTACCCTGAAATACATGCCTCGCTTGTACCCTAGGCATAAGCAAGACCAACCCACCACTCTCCTGTCAAGGGGTCTAGGTCCCCGTCCAAACTTGGACTCCAAGCCCCCACTCCTGAGTCTCGGACTTAGTGTGGCACTTAGACCTCCACCATCCCCGCCTCCAATCAGTCGGTCCAAAAAGGGCCGAAACCCACGACAAAAGAACAACGAGCCTTCCGCTCCCATAAGCAAGTATGTGCTCAGGATAATAAGTCTGTGACCTGACTAGAATCCACAGCAACGAACGGTCCTTAACCGACACGGACAGGGAAAATAGTGTAACCAAGCTATGCCACGTTGGTCGCGGGACACAACCTATTACACCCACCAATACCCGTACCATATCCCTGTTCGGTCTCTATTTCCTTTCATCATTTTATCATGAGAGTAATAATAATAATCACCTATTGTGAGTAACGATAGGTTACTCACGCTACCGATAGCCCAAGCATAGCATCTACTCGACCTATGCTAGTAGGACTCATAGGTAGGTTTACCTATGCATGTAGTTTCAATATAAATCCTGTAACATCAATGCACATCACATATATATACATCTAGTGATTATTCAAAATAAGGGTTATGCACCGGGGCTTGCCTTTGGGCAGGCGGATTGTCAGCTAAGTCAGTTAGTGATGGCTCTAGGACCTCCTCCTGCTCGAGGACCTCCTCCTCGTACTCCTCGATCACCTCTTCATACTCCTTGTAAGGAAAATGGACCCTAGGCCCTTTACTTTGGATTTTGGTGTTTGATGACCAACATAACCAAATCTGACTAATAAATTTGCAAAGTGATTGTTTTGTAGTTCAATAGGGTGCAAGACGTGACTTGGACGAAGGTGACGTGATGATCCGATGATCAACACCATAAGCAAGACCTTAGAAGCACAAGAGAAGACCCAAGATATCAAGCAAAGTCCAAGCATGAAGATACGAACCAAGCCATACGCAAGATCATGAAGAAACAAGCTCACAGTATTGATCGGATGCTGGACCAGACGCTGGGTGCACAGTGATCGGACGCCCAATCAAGAGGCTTGGCGACAACAGTGACCAGACGCTGGCGGCAGATTGACCGGACGTAGGACAGCAGAGTCCGGTCGAGTACAGAGAGGTTCCAGAGCGATGAAAATGCGACCGGACGCTGGCAGCGTCTGATCAGTTGTTCATGGCTCCAATGGTCGGGATGATCGGACGCGTCCGGTTAGGATGTGATCAGCATCCGGTCAGTTGTAGAAAAGCGGATTTCGTCCCCAATGGCTACTTTCTCAGTGGGGCTTATAAATAGACCTCCCAACCGGCCAAATGAGGAGTGTGGAGCTGAGGAAACATATCAAGGGTGTTAATACACTATTTTAGTGATCTCGACTTGCATAGTGCTTAGTGTTTCATTAGGTGATTAGCGTAGGTGCTTTGTGAAGTGCTTAGGTTGATTAGACCACCGCTTATGCGCTTACTCTAGGTTTAGGCCTAGTGTTTAGTGAGGTTTGCATACCTCTTACCACTCGGTGCTTACGTGCACTATTGTTGTACATCGGAGGGGCTTATAGTCTTACGAGATCACACCAACCGTA